AGTACCAAAAGACTGCATGCAGAGTTTATAAGGAATTTTGATAGATCTTCTACTCCAAGTATTTAAATCCACATACATTACTTTTTCTCTTAAAAATCCAGGTTAATGTGATCTATCCGAGCGAAGATGATGTGCGCAACAGCAGTGAAGGTTGGATGGGGGGTTCATGTCTCCCTTATAATTCCGGAACGCACGACAAACAGACCTGGCTTACGGAGTGTATGCAGTAAGTCAACTAATAGTCTAATTCGGGCCTGGGGTGTCATCTGGATTAGTTTTGTGCTATTTGTAGTCCATCTTATTATGCTGTGTAATGGGTAATGGTGATATACAGTTTATTTTGTGAATGTTATCACATAGATTACTTTGACAGCATTATAGATTGTACTGTTATGGATGATTGAAGGTGAACCTGTTTCAACAATTTTTAGTGGATTTTGTAGTTTGTATTGTTATGTTAGATAAATATACAAGAAACTGAAATCTTTTATATGCAGTAAATATATTTGTATTGTAAATAGAGGTTTATACAGATATATTCATATGATGACTGCAGGAAAAAAATATTATAACTTGCTTATTTACCAATTTTATTCCATTACAATTGTAATGGCATAGGGTAGTTAGTGCTAGCTTTAAACAACTCCTCACCTCTACAAGCTTAAATTAAGACTTCATATTTGTAATTATCTTTTGTTTTTCACTAATTCTTTCTGTAATAGGTTATTAAGATTCTGAAAATATCTATCTCTTTAGCCCAGTAGGTGTTAAAGGAAAAAAAGATCTTTTTCCTATTGCAGGACCATGTGACAGGTACAATTGTTTTAATGAAAACATTTGATATGGCAGAACAGAGAATAACATCCTGCTATAATTCCTTAGTAGATCATCTAAAGAATATGTGTTTTTGCCTTCGCAGCTGTTGGCGCAGTGACCGGAGAAAAAGAACACGAGTCATGCCCCACATCAAGACCTACACCCGCTTGAACAAGAGCCAGTCTGCTGCACAATTTTTCCTCCTAACCTCGGCCAACATCTCAAAGGCTGCTTGGGGTACACTCCAGAAGCAGAACACGCAGTTGTTTATTAGATCTTACGAAGCTGGAGTCTTACTTCTACCTAAGTTCCTCGTGAGTATATGTTTGGAAGTGTTTATTTAGTAGAGAAGTCCGTATTTAGTTAGTAGGAAAGTACTATAAGTAAATACACATATAACTTTATTCGTATTATGATCTTTCTCTTTTGAGTCCTTTGAGATTTGCCAAGTGTTTCAGAAACAAGAGTCAAAACTAGAGTCAACACTGAGTGGTAAACTCGGAAGTGAATGGGACAAAGTATTTGATTTGCATATTTGATTCTGTTTTAGTCTGATGTTTATGTGTAAGGATAGATGTTCCTGCTTCTCAATAGTTTTTTTAGGAGCATTTTTTTTTATGTCTTTATTATGTTTGATCCTTGATATTTCCCTGACTCTCCTGTCAGTTCACATTTTACACATAAATGAAGAACAACATCACTTACAGGAAACCTTAAACCTGTGTGTTAATGTGCACTTACTACTTTTTCCACACCTGTATAATCATTTGTTTTCCAGTCCGACACCTCTGAATTGCCGTTAAGTGCCAGTGATCTCTCCCTGCCGTACGACGTTCCACTGACTCCTTACCCGAGCGGTGCGATCCCCTGGTTCATGAACACAAACAAGAGCCAGACAGATATCTTTGGCCGAACTTATCCCTGATACAAGCTCTTCATTGATGGAAAAACACAAAATTGCAATACCTATTCCTCTGTCTTTATCATTATTATTGTTTGAATGTATTGAGTTAGTGAAAATGTGAAGTTAATGCAAAGAAAAATCTAATAAACTTTTTTTTTTTTTTTTTTATTGTTCACAGTTTTGTAATTAGTTTTATCTGATTACTTTTATGATTTAATTAAATGTTTTTGCAAGGGATGCTATTATGAATGGTGTGATAGCTATGGAATGAAAATGTTTTTGTTATGAGAGAGTGCTAGTAGTTTTGTAATACCATTCAATTTCATTAAGAGAGAAGACACAATATCTTTTTATGTATTTTTATAACTTCCATGGAGTTCTGATATATTTATAAAGTTTTTAACAATCTTAAAAAAGAATACGAGTAAAAACTGCAAGCATGTAGCTTTGTATGAAGTGTCTTGCTGATGTTATTAGGTTATATAATAAGAAGGAGTTGCCGACATAAGTTCAACAAACAGTAAGTTTACCGCTGTAATTTATCGTTCTGTGTTGACTCTTACACCAAATAGGGGAGATGTATATTTTGAGCTTAATGGAAATATTTGTTTAAGTACACTTCTTTTCAAACACCAGCATTGTCATATGATACATTTTTTGTTCCTTTTGATGTAAAGATATCTTCAAATGTCTTCTAATCATGACAATAATGGAATTGAAACTCTTGTGATCTTAGTGTATGATGATACTGATTTAACATGTAAGAGCCAGCACATGCCAGATGCCAGGTTTAGTTTGCCTGTTCTACTCTCCACAGATGTGTCTGCTCCCATCACCCTTATTACAGCTGTGTATATGCATCCCCTCTGTGTTGCTAGTTGCAGGAGACCTCTTCGTATTCCACCATATGTGTTTTTCTCCAGTCCTGCCTCTTAGATATCAAAGCAGATGTGCTATCTACAAATGTGTCCTGGCCACAGGATAAGGATAATTTGCAGGAAGTCAGGCCTCGAGTGATTGAGAAAATGGACATGGTATTAATTTCTTTATTCCTGACAGCTATAAGAATATGAAATAGGGTTTTATGATATCCAAAGCAGCTCCTTAAGATTTCCATTGTTCAGCTGTGGTTGAGGAAATGTGTTAGTTGACCATAACTGATATAAAAAGATGATTTTTTTTTTTTTCTTCTTCTTCTTTTTTATCAAAAATGTAATTTTAGTCAGAATCAGGGAAAGGAAAGAGATCTTTTTATTCAGGGACATGCCTTTATTTTTTCTACCAATGCATATCAGTGCCTCCTGTTATGCAAAACCACATTTTCCACCTCATTCTGATGTCATATGCTCCGATTTCCTTTTTCTTTTCCTCACATTTAAGCATCATCTGATTACTAGAATGTTTGTTGCATTCCAGAGATTTGTACTGAATTACAAGCCTCACTTACTGTATATATTACTATTTAGGGAATGAACTGAAAGGCTTATATTTTTTGCAGATGAAAATGATGATATGCTGTTCTGCATGTATGCCATATTTATGGCAAATTTTGTCAGATTTTGTTTAAACTTTCCCAGTGGTTATACCAGTGCTCACTAATAGTGCTCTTTTATTCGTTTGTAGCTAGAAAAGTCATTCAAGTTTTTCTTGTTATAAGAATAATAATAGCTCTTACACAAGTGTACTAAGCTGCCTTTTTTATCAAGTATTTTTATGGCATTCAAAAATACTGATGAAACTTGAAGCATATTTTTGTACTGTGGTTAAATGAAAATGTTTTTACGTGTATAGCTCCAGTTACCTGAATGTTTGCAGATTCTTTGATTATGTATGAAGTGTATGGTAGTAATATTTCCAAAAAGGGAAGGACTATTGTTTAAGCTATCAGCAGAATAGCCAGGATTTCACTTGCCTTATTTGACTCTGGGACCTGATTCAAGTCCGGGATCATTGCCATTTTGCCAGCCTTAGACGTGCTATCAGGAAAACTATGGGAACCCAGATCCTGCTAATTCTTTCACAAGTAATTATGATTTACAGTCATAGAAGTTATAAAGTATTTTTGTGCAGTTATAACAGCTCTGAAGACACTTTGGAGCCAGCCTTGACGTGCTGTCAAGAGGAATGTTGTTGGACAGGCTGAGGTGGCTGTGAGACCAGGGCTATGTTTGGCAAGTAGAACCAGGGCTAAAGAGAGATGAATAAAGGTGGAAATGATCTCTTTTCCTCATTACATTTTGCTGTCACTGAAAGTAAGCAACTTGTCATAGTTTGCTCATTATAATCAAAGTCAGTCTGTATTAAGGCTTGGTCCATACACTATGGGGTGCCTCTTTTCTGCTCACTTCTGATCATGTGGCTATGGTCAAGATCACAGAAATGGAAAGACTGACCAAATATTTATGAAAAAAAAAAAAACATGGTAAATGCAGCAGACAGACACTATTACAACAACAAAAAAGGAAAATTTGAAAACAATTACTCATGCAGCACATCAGTATAGTGTTTAGCCAATAGAGAGGTGTGCAACAGTTATTATTATAAGTGTGCTCTATTTTAGATGTGAAAATTATTTTTTAACTTACTATTAGTGCTCTGATTCAGAAATATATTCTTCTGGACATGTTTAAGCTATGCAAAACTATTATATATTTCTGAAATCAAGTGATCATGAACTTTTTTGTGTAGGGAGACAGTTTCTGTTAAATCAAATGTTTATAAATTGTATCTGCTTATATTCATTTTCTCTACACTCAGGGCTTTCTTTCCAGTCATTTGGCAATTTCCTTTTTTCATTGAGCAGCCAAATTGCAGCCCATATTGTTCCTACTCGAATATATTGCTTTTATTTTGATGTAATAATGTATCAGTCTCACACTACGTTGTAGTAAATAAGAGAGGCTCACAGTTGTTTCAGTTTTCATCCCATAAAGACAGTATTGAGGAAGTGGAAGTGTTAGGTATAGATAAGGTCCAGAGAGGCTTGAACTTCCAAACACTACATCAGTATTCGGGTGTGCCTTAACCCACCACCCCGCAGAGTGCTTTGTGAATAAAATGAAATACAAAAGGATAGTCAAGGTCTTTAGAAAAAAGAAAGAAAGGAATTAGATTATGATTATTAGTGTTAGTAGTAGTGTTATTAGTGTTAATATTTGTGTTATAATTATAGCAATTTTTGCTATTACTATGTTATTACTATCATTATCAGTTGTTTATTTTTTGTTATTATTATTATTGTTGTCATTATAATATTTTTTTATTATTATCTATTTTATTA